AAATTGTTTTACTAAGTTCCATAAAGAAATAATTTTATTTATAGAATAAAAAATATATTCCTAACTTATTGGTTATAGAAAGTTAAAAATGATTATTTTTTAAACAAATGAAACCAGTTTCAGCATTTAGTCAGTCTTGGGCGTTCATATTTAATTCAATTTAAGGCATTGTGTTTTTTGTTTTTTTTTAATTATACAGGGTTGTTGGAGTTAACGTCTATTGTTTGATCTATGAATTTGTTGACAATTTGAATATACCTTGCTGTGTTTAAATATAAATAAAGTAATTTTTTTTTTAATTCTGTTAATTAGCCCTTAAATTTAATAATTTTCTCTGAAAGAATTATCTAGGATAGATATTTGATTTACAAAATATCTTAAGTTTTCTGTCATTATTTTTCAATTTCTCAGACCAATGATAAATTGACTGTAAGAATGTTTTGAAATGTTCCTAAATGGTAATACTGTTGTTGGTTAGAATTTATAAAATTTTTTCTCTAAAGACAATTTTTCAATAAAATAGATTTCTCAAGTCCAGTGACTCTTTCCAGTTTTTACCTTTTATTGTAGCATGAAATGTAATCATCTTGATTGCATAATCATTTTCTCTTTCTATAATATCCATTTTAGTTGTTGCTGCTGTTGAATATTTTCGAGTGATGTGGTTTCTGTTATCTGGTACAGTTCTTTCTTTGTGATTCTACAGCACCAGTCCACAACATTCAAAGAAGGATTGTCTTCAAGATCCACAGCCTCTAAGCCTTTTTTCATCATTGATCTTAGGAAGCGGTTGTATACAGCTGACAGTTTAGATAATTCTAAATGGGTTTGGTATCATGCATGACATCTACATGAAAGTCTCGCTCTGACAAGGCTATTTAAGAACATGACTCAAGTTTTCTGGATAGTGTTTTGGCTTTGTAGCAATTTTGGGCAAATATCTGTAGCACAGCTCACTCTATGTTCAATTTCTTTTTCTCCTATACTTAATTTATTATAGCTGATCCATACTATGAGGTATTTGAAGTGCTTGAAATATTTTCTAACTCCACATCCTGAATTTCTATGATGGATTCAGGGTATGTGCCATTGCTGTTTTCATTCCAATTCCAGATCATAGTTTCCATTTTGGAAAAGTTTATTTTGAGTTCTATTTCTTGGAATATGTGGTAGAGGATGTGATTTTTTTTTTTTTGTTCAAGATCATTCTTATTCCAACTATGAATACCTATGTCATCAATATAGGCCCCTCATCATCACTACATTGGCCTCAAACGAAAAGTAGGATCACTGTCTTCTATTAGTTGATTAGTTTTGAATGTGGTATGGAATGTTTAAGTATGTTAGGATTAAGGACTAACTTTTTGTTTCCATAGTGCATTAATGCATGATAAATTTCACCTTTGGGGGATGCATTTCTCATTCAAGACTTTCTACATAAAACTGAGAAACTTGTTATTGAATTTGGAGAGAAAGTCATCTATTTCCAGAAATTTAGCCTAAATACCTAGTGTTGTTTTATTATTCCTTAGTTTTTTTAATAGCTTTCATAATTTCTTCATTAGGTTCATTATTGTTTATGTCTGGAGACAGACTTTGTAATGATTTGATGTATATTGATATTTATTCTATTTCTGCAGGCATCTTTAGTATGGTCAGAATAGAAATGTAAAACTTAAATGCATAAAATTATTACTATTTTTTATAGATTAGCTTTATGCTATTATCTTTCAAACAGAACCAAAATTTTACTAAAAAGAAAGATTTTAAATAATTTTAAATGTAATGTTTTCAGCTCAAATTTTGGCAGTACCTAATAGAGTTGATTAATCTTTTTGAAGAAATATTAATTTAGGACTTCTTCTGATAAGAGGAATTGTAGCCCATTTTCACATTTTGCCCATTAAGTGTAATTCATGGTTCCCCAATAAGTACATAATTAGAACCTCAGTTCAAATGATGTATTTCCTGAAAAACAAAAAAGCTTCTTCCAATTTTGTCTCTAAACCAAACCACAGGCTTAAAAAATAACTTTTATACAATCAAGCATACTTAAACTGAACTGGCAGTCTTATCTGATCCTTTAGTTAGCAATATTATGTATGAAGAACTAGTCTATTTGCAGCTGACCAATGAACCAGTGTTGTATGTACACTTAAATCAAGACTAATATATTGTTGTTTAAAACTTTCAGACAAAAATTAATCATATAATTTTAGTTGAACAAAAATAGAGGATAATTTCATTTAAAATCATTTTTTTTACAAATTACATAGGAATTAAATACGTTGTGCCAGCATCTTAATCATTAAGAGACAACATAAACATCAGGAACAGCAACACAAATTTTTAAGAAAAAAAAAAAAAAAAAAAAACCAGGTATATTGTTGTTCCTTGTTTAAATTAAAATTTGAGTTTAAAATATTATTAAAAACTTAATTCTATATTCTTATCTTTAGTTTCACCATTTAGATTTTTAGAGTTAATTTGTAAGAATCTTATAGAATTTTAAAAATGACAGGAAAGAGAAAAGAAAAAGCGATAATAATAATTTTCAACTTCATGATACTGTCAGTACAATTATGCCACTTAAATGATTGAAAAAGGAAACAACAAAATCAGAAACTTGTTTATTTTTTGATTGGGATTATTTACCGAAAATTGCAAGAACGAGTGACGTTTCAAGTATCCAAGCAGAAAAAAAATTTGTTTTAAGTGTACTGTTCCAAAACATACACAATATATGCAAAAAATCATTTTTCCTTATAAAGTAAAAATCATAAAAGTAGTCTTCTTTATGCAGTGTCAATTCAGAACTTGGTCAATGATGGGTCTTCACAACAGTCTGTCTTTTGTAACTTTTAACAAGGTTTGTCTTTTTTGCTATTTCTTCTAATCTCTGTGTTGCTAACCATTGACACAAACTCATTAGAGTTGATTAGTTGATTTATTTAGCAGCATATCAACCTATATAGATTATTTAATATTGAAATCTAAATATTTTGAATCCAATTCCATGCCTTCAACTAAATATATTTTGAATGCAATTGTATGACTTCAACTACAAATAATATGTATTGATGGTCATTTCGCCATAGATATGTATTGATGGTCATTTCGCCATAGATATGTATTGATGGTCATTTCGCCATAGATATGTATTGATGGTCATTTCGCCATAGATATGTATTGATGGTCATTTCGCCATAGATATGTATTGATGGTCATTTCGCCATAGATATGTATTGATGGTCATTTCGCCATAGATATGTATTGATGGTCATTTCGCCATAGATATGTATTGATGGTCATTTCGCCATAGATATGTATTGATGGTCATTTCGCCATAGATATGTATTGATGGTCATTTCGCCATAGATATGTATTGATGGTCAGTTTTTTTAAATATAAAAATGAGTTTTATACAATCATAGTGTTTGAGAGAATGTACGGTGGAGTAATGGATAGCAGCTCAGATTGTGGAATCAGAGAGCTGAGTTCGAATTCCAGTGGAATCCATTACATTCACTTATGTGCTAATGCCCTTGGGAAAGGTATGAATCCTCTTCTCCCCGCAGCTATGGGTAAATAGCAGGACAGACCGGGTTCTATAGTCTTGGATGGCAACTGTTCTACTGCAGAAAGAAATGGCAACCTACAGTGGAAAAAAATCTGCCTCGTCAGTCATGTATCGAAAGATACATGATCACCTACGCATGTATCATGGATGGCACATGACTGACTGAGTGTTTGGTTTTTGTTTAGAGGTTCACTAGTATTTGCCCATAACAAGGACACTAACAGGTGCTACCAACCTCAAACTTATTAGGGAAGTTATTCACTGCTTTCTTTATGCTTATTGCCTTTAAATGTTTTGTGAGTGTCAAATTCCCCAAGTCCTCTTTCCTCATTATGTACCTATAAATTTCAATTGTCTGTTTCTAAGTATACATATTTATTAAATCTTACTGCTGAAAAGCTGCCTGTTTTCAGAGCATCACTTATTTTGCCTAGTGCTTTTATTTTTTTTTTTTATTTTGATATAAGGCACAGAAACAAACAATTTTTTTTTAAATCAACAACCAACATTAGTTTAACAATAAAATGCAATAGCATTTGAATTTGATTAATCTACTATTCTTAGAGAAGTTTGGGCAGAAAGCTACAAAGGTACCCAATAAGAATCGAACCCACTTTCTACTCAATTCTCAAACCAGACTAGCTCGATAACTATGCAAAGGTGCTCCTAAAAAGGGAGTTACAAATTCGCCATCCAAATTGATTAAATAAATACTAGCACCATCGACAATAGTAATGCCAATTTTTAATAAGAAATTTTATTTTATGAAGAAATGAAAATTTATATTTTGTCATTTTGTCTACGAAATTTGGATGCGATGGAAAAAGTTATTCAATTTTAATAGATTTTAAAAGTTGCGAAAAACTGCTAAAATAACTAAATTAAAAGTATTAGAGATTTATTTAGAAGAAAACTAAAGAGTAAGAGTTTATTAAAGAGATAGATAAAAGGCAAAATAAAAGTAAAACGTAAAAAAAATCGATGTCTAAGTAATAACTAGTTTTTATGTATTGAATATTGTATCTTTGACTTTTATATTTTTAAATAATTTAAATGACAAATTATTTTTTTATATTCAAATAAAATCAGATGACAATTATTTAGTTTTCTTATCAATGGCATCAATTTTTTTTTTTATTTAAAAAAAGTTGAAATAATTAAAATATTTCTAGTGGATGTTGTCTAAGAAAAAATATTTTTCTCAGTTACTTTTTTTACAGACACAGTGGTAGGTAAATTGAACACTAAAGTTTCTTGCTTTATTTTTAGTTTATTATATTCAAATAGAAAATTAATGAAAAATAAATAAAAAAGCAAAAACGATGATAATTTTTTTGATGAAAAACTGATACAGCGGATGTAAACAGGAAAGGAAAAATATGAACAAAAACATTGAAGTAAAAGAAGATTTTTCACCAACCTGATTTGGGAGGATATCTGTATGCATTATTATTGCCATAGTCCACCACATCATTCCCTGCATTTCTACGACTGGCTAGAGCTCCCATCTTGGATTATTAATATTTTGAGAAGCTTGTTGATCATAACACAATACTTAGCTGGGTATGAAGAGCAACATAACAAACTAAGGGCGGATGCACGCTCAAATAAAAATATTATTCCCACACCTGTCACTCTTCACTTGCCTTTCAATGGCGGCCACAGCAGACGTCACTCAGTTTAGTATCGCATGGATGCGAGATATCTTGCGAGATTTGTAAAATGTAATTTTTTTTGTTACTGATTATCATAATAGCCGTTAGTACCTAAGTTCAGTTCTGTTTTAAAATAATACAAAAAATTTCTTTCGTTTTGTGATTTTTTTTCGTATTTACGTTTGCCGAGTATTATTCACTTTCAGTCAGTAAGACGGCGGGTCGGCGTTTAATTCATAGAATCAACATCAGCATCGGTATTTTGAATAACAAACTACGCCCACTAATATGATTATTGACCAATCAGCGGCGTCAATTGCAAGTGAGCTGTCAATCACTGACGAGCAATAACAACATCAGAAGGCTGAGTCGTAAGTAGGTGAAGATCAACGGATCGGTGTTCATACACAGAAATGGATAATTTAAAACAACAAGTAATGATAAACCAGTTTGTCTTGGCGGCTGGATGTCATGCCGAACAAGCAAAACAATTGCTACAAGCAGCAAAATGGCAATTTGAGGTAAATTTGTATTCGAATAAGATATGATGCAGTAGTAGTAACGTGTCTGTTGTGTGGGGAACACAACATTATGGCGAATAAATGTTTATCATGATTTTTATTACACAAGGCAACAACATTTGTAGTTCTGACATTCCAGGCCGTTCTGACTTTATCATTTATATATATACAATATATATTATTTTTCTTTGAAAGCGTCTATTTGTTATATCACCAAGTCGTTTTGTAATTTGTTTTTCAGGCGGCTTTGAGTATGTTTTTTCAAGATTCCTCCGTTCCCATGTGTCGAACATGCAACGGCAACCATACAAACGGCAGCTATCCGGTGAGTGCGAATGAATTTGACTTAAAAAAAAAAATTCATCTTTTTTTATTCTCGTTATTATATATTAATTTATCACCAACCACTACTAATTCAAGACAATCACTTTTCTGTTGTTGTCTCTTTGTGACCACTGCTATTTCCCGTCTCCTGACCCGATTATCATCTGTAGTTGTCGTCGTCATGATGTTGACTCGCGTTCCACCATGTTTACTCGGCTACTTTCCTTCTTTATAACAAGTATGCTCTATCGTCTTTTCCCTTTTTTTTTTTTTTGTTTAACCCTCCACTAAAAATACTATCTTTTACTAACTAACACTTGTGTATAGAAATAATAAATACATGTCGCATTTACCTGTTTTTTGAATTCTATCTTCCAACAATAACAGGCTATTGTCATAAATTGTTTTAATGTTTATTATTGTTTAGGATTCGATTATATCTTTACTATTCCGATCGATGTTTTTAAAATAGTAGTCGGCAAATTATACTTGGTGTCCTACTACCAACACCGATACTGATAAAATATTTGTTTTTTTTATGTCATTTATTTATGGACATTTTAATGGCTAACTATGAAATAAATTATTCATTGTCATTTTGAATGTATACCAATCTGTATTTGAAATATTTTCGCACGCAATTTGTTTCAATTTTAACATCAACACATTCCATTTATTTTTTTTTTCATTTGTCACTGTTACCCACACTAATAAAATCTTAAATTTAAATATCACATTTTTTCTTTCTTGATTTTCAATAGATTCCCTTTAGTTTAATATTTTAAAGTCGACCGTATTTATTTTAATTTCTGAATGTCTACCGACTGTCTTCCTGACTCATCATCTTCCCAATTCAAGTTACTTTTAGAATAGCAGCAGCGAGAACAACAACACGCAGGACTGTGTGTACTATGTGGTGTGTGTGTATATATATATATATATAAATATACACACACTTAACCTTACTCATGCACCATTCAAAGTATAATATTGTGTGCAGCACACACATAAACTAGGAAATAAGTTTCACTCTCTAAAAAGCTTTGTAAATAAGTCTATATGGGTAACACATGTTAATTAGTACGTTAAGACCACTCTACAATTGGTCTCTCTTTTTGTGTCTGTCGGCGACTGAGGTCAAATTTAACAACCAAAAGCCAAAACAATTATAATTTATTAATTCTATCTATCCTATTGCAGACGTTTAAAGATTTTTGCTACAGCCTTTATCCAAGGAGAGTAAAACACTGACAGTATTTTATTTTTTAATAAGATTTATTTATTTGTTAAAAAATGGCCTCGGCAATAACAAACAAAGAACAAGTGTACGTTGTCAATTACGAGTTTGTTTTTATTATTAAATTCGTTATTCCAAATACGAATAAAAATAAAACTAATTTAAAAAAAACAAAAAACTTTGTGTATATGTTCTGTTTTATGTGTAATCAAACTCGGATTGTAGTTAAGTTTTTTTTTTTTTTTTTTCATATTTTTATCGTGTGTCTAAATTTAGATTTTAATATGTTAATTAAAATTAAAGCAATTAAAAAAAAAAAAAGAAACGCAATCCACAACTCCTAATGATTCAAATCATTCAATGAATAGAACTACTTTTTATGGTTGCCTTCTGGGGTAAGGAGAGATTAGGACTCTGAGTGAGGTTCATCTCCATTGAAAATACCAAGCATAGTTTCCTTCCACAATTTTTAAATCTTTTAAAAGATCTTCCAGAAATGTGGAAATTATTATGGGGAATAAATTAATTAATGGCTTTAAATGCGATTAAAAATAAATAAATCGACATTGTTGTGAACTGTGTAAATACGTGCACCAAAAATATTTTATTTGTAAATACGTACACAGACAGATCCACCCTAATATAGCGGTGACGGACGGCGGCACCCCAATCATTTACTCAGACATGTGTTCCTGTTAATGTTCAACCCAGCAGCAGCAGCATAAAGAATTAGCTTATTAGTCAACAACACGCACTGACTGTATACATTATGTACAGGAAATGGCAAGAGTAGCCCACATTTGTTTATTTCATCACAGCTACGACTGAACCTTTTTATTATTCATTTTAAAATGGCTTCAAAAGACGATCTGTCTGATTAGTTAATTAGAAATGTCTTTCCATAAAAGAAAAATTTTCAATTTCCATAATCATTTATTTCATTTTTTTTCTGTTACTCAATTCAATATTTAAGAAGTTCTTCACATTAGCTTGTTTTTATGTTTAAAAAATTAAGAACGTAAAAATATTGTTGCTTTTTTCTGATTTTAATTTTAAAATATTCTTGTCGCTTTCTTTGATTATTCAAAGTTTTTTTTTTTAATATTTGCTTCAATTTTCAGATATTTTTTTTCAAACGTAACTAAAATTACGAAAGGATCGCATGTAAAAATAAACCTTTTTGTTGTGTAATGAAACATTCTGATTTTTTTTTTTATTCTTAAATTAATCAATGACCTGCAATTCACACTTTTTAAATCACTATCACAAAACAAAAATGAGTCATTGAAATGTTCTTATTTTATCCTGACATACAAAAAAAAACAACCAACTTATCAACAAGTTCAGACGGGCCAAGTGTTTATTTATTTTTTAATGAACCTGTTCAAGTAGGGAGCATACTAACTAAAGTAACTTTTATTTTTAATTGTTTATTGCCAGCCAAGCAAACTACCTCTGGATCTTAAGTTTCATAGATTTGGGCTAAAACAAGAAAAAGTTTGTAACAAAATCGACAATTTTAATTTAAACAAAGTTTGATTTATGGGTGGGGAATAGAGAGACTTTGTTTTGAATTGTTACACAGACTTGCATAATTTTCAAGCCTCAAACCAGAACACTTTTCAATTTTTATTATAGGTTTTACTTTTGTTGTTACCTAACAACATCATTTAAAACTGTAAAACTGACACAAAGTTTATCACTGGGACATCATGACAAGCCTATAGTTTCACTGAATTAATTTTTTCAAGCCATAATGTGAAACCAAGTTTGTTTTAGAATTAAAGTAAACAGAAGTTTTTTTTTTTTTTTTTTTTTTTTTTTCTACAGGGGGCTAATATTTGTTAAAATTTAAAATCCTCATTTTAATACTAGCAATCAATTGTAGACAATATATAAAGAATTTAATTAAGCATCTTTTTATGTAAGAAACTTTACAGACGGTTTGATTCTTCTATTTTAACTGAATATTTTAAAAGAATGATAAAATAAAAATTACTTGTAATTAAAAAAAAAAAAAAAAAATTAAACAAAACTACTGGAGTGACACTTCTTAATTTGGAACCTATTTTTATAGCCCTAAAGTAGAAAAATCCTTGTTTTATTACTTTTTAATTTGTGTGTGCATAATGAAAGGTAAATCTAATAGTGCATAAAAAAATTATAACACTGACACAAATCTGAGTAGTTTCCATGAGAAAACCACATATAAAAAAAAAAAAAAGAAACTTCCTCTTGGGTGTATTTTAATAGTGGTTGTCTCTTTATTTGTTAGTTGAGAATCTGAGAATATACAATTTATGGAAATTTTCCAAATTTTAATTAACTTGTTTAAAATTACATGTGATGATGCTTTTAACAAGTAATTTCCTTAAAATTACTGGTCTTAGCTTAAAATTTAAAAGACTTATATTTATTTATGTGGAATCAATGCAAATAAGTTCCATGTAGCAGCTTTTAGAAATTAATTTTCATACATCAGAAACAGAATGGTATTGAAAGACTGATGTAGTACAATAATTAATTTGCTATAGTACAGGGGATTTGATTCTCGGACATCTTTTTATGATGCTTAGCTTAGCCTGGTAGAGGGCTCCATTGTTAGCGAGCCAATTTTAATCAAACTCGCTAACAATGGTTTGCAAGACTAGTTTGCTAATCCTTGCTATAAAAAGTATTAATATTTCTCCAAGATATCTAAATATACTTTAGTTAGAAAATAGAAGTTTTTGAAAGATTGTATTTTTACTTTAAAATCTCTGAATGTAAAA